TGCTCTAGTAGAAGGTCAGTAAACTCAAGTTCCTTACTTGGGCAAGCAAGCTGGTGGTTTATGATCACTGTAACGTTTGGAAGCAGCTGGGTGAACTCTTGAGACCTCATCTGCACTTGAGTCTAATGGTCTTGGATCTTTCTGGAGAGTTAACAAAGTCTATGAATCTTCACAGAAAAAAAAAGCCATGCATACAAGGACATTCAAGGACTCACCCTGAAGTCCGTCTTATACCTCCCAGAGTTAGGAATCTGTTTGAGTGGCATGCCCCAGGGTCTAGCCGTGGGCCTTAACTTGGTTATTTTCATCAATGAACCAGATTTTAAAGACAATGACAACAGCCAACCAAATGTGTGGTGAAGACAAGGCAGGAACAAGTGAAGTCACATTGTTTGGCAATTATGACAACTTTAATACAGGCAAAAGTAAACTCTTGCATTTGTAGACCCTGTTATGAGCTGAACTGTGTTCTCCCCAACTCACATGTTAAAGCCCTAAACCCAGTACCTTGGAATATGACTGTGTGAAGAGGCAGGCCCATTAAAGACATCACTGAGTTAAAAGGAGGCTTTTGGGGCAGGCAATAATGCAGTCTGACTGGTGTGGTAAGAAGAAAACATTTGGTAACATGAGATACCAGGGGTGCACAGAGGAAAGATCATGTGAAGAAGCAGCAAGAGGGTAGCTATCTGCAGGTCAAAGGAAGAGGCCTCAGAAAAAAATCAACTCTGGGGGTGGGCGCTGTGGTGTCGTGGGTAAGGCCGCCACCTGCAATGCCAGCATCTCATATGGGTTCTAGTTGGAGTCCCAGCTGCTCCATTTCTGATCTAGCTCTCTGCTATGGCCTGGGAAGGCAGTGGAGGATGGCCCAAGTACGTGGGCCCCTGCACCCATGTGGGAAACCCGAATAGGCTCCTGGATCCTGGTTTCAGATCAGCACAGCTCCAGCCATTGTGGTCATTTGGGGAATGAACCAGCACGTGGAAGATCTCTCTCCCTCACTCTGCCTCTGCCTCTCTGTAACTCTACCTTTCAAGTAAATAACTTTTTTTTTAAATCAACTCTGCCCACACCTTGATCTTGAACTTCTAGCCTCAAAATTGTGAGAAAATAAAGTTGTTTTGTTGAAGTCATCCAGTTAGTGGTATTTTGTTATGGTAGTCCAAGCAAACTAATTCAGATCCCAAAGGGCAACTCCATAGGAATAGAAGAGGGAATGAGGCTAGGAGAAGTATCTGACATTGAAGTAGCTCTGTGAAAGTCATATGTTAAAAAGAGATTTAAAGTTTATTTTAAATGAGTTCAGTTGATTTATTTTTTCCAATTTCTTTTATTTATATAAGATGAACAAATTCCATGTATTTCATATACACAGATTTAGGTGCATAGTGATACTTTCCACCCTACCCTCTTCCTGGCCATGCTCCCACCCTCTCTCCTTCTTCCTTTCTTATTCTTTCTTTTAATTTTTACAATGACATGATTTGTTTATTTTATAAGCTTAGCCCTCCACTAAGTAGAGAATTCAGCAAATAGCAAGAAGAAGAAAAAACTGTTTCTCAACTGTAGAGATAGGGCTGTAAATAATAATAAAATCCCAAAATGTCAATTTTGCTCATATATATTACATTCTTTTATACTCTATTAGTTACCATAGATCAGGGAAAACATGATATTTGTCTTTTGGGAACTAGTTTATTTCATTAAATTGTTTTCAGTTGCATCCATTTGGTTGCAAAAGACAGGATTTCATATTTTATGGCTGAGTAGTATTCCATAGCATATATATATATATATATATATATATATATATATATCATATAAACACACCATGTTTACTTTAGTCATTGGTTGATAGACATCTGGGTTGATTTCATATTGTAGCTATTGTGATTTGAACTGCAATAAATATAGGGGTACAAATGACTCTTTCATATTCTTATTTCACATAATTTGCATCAATTTCCCAGGAGTGAGATGGCTGGATTGTATGGTAGATGTATTTTCAGATTTCTGAGGAATCTCCATACTGTCTTCCACAGTGGCTATACTAGTTTATATTCCCATCAACAGTGTATTAAGGTACCTTTCCCCCCATTATCACCAGCATTTATTGTTTTTTGATTTCTGTATGATAGCCATTCTGACTGGGATGAGGTGAAACCTTATTGTGGTTTTGACTTGCATTTCCCAGATGGCTAGTGATAGTGTGAATTTTTGCATGTGTCTGTTGGCCACTTGAATTTCCTCTTTTGAAAAATGCCTATTTGATGTGGCTCTCTTTCTCTCCATCCCCTGATCTCTTTCTCTCTCCTGTCTCCCTCTCTATTTATGTCTCTTGATATCTCTCTCTCTTTCTCTCGATCTCTCTCTTACACTCTCCTCCCTATTTTCCTTCTTCGCCCCTTCCCTCTGGTCTGTCAGGTTCTCCCCAATAAACCTTTTCCCTTAAAAATGCCTGTTCAAGTCCTTTGCCTATTTATTAACTGTTTTTTTGTTTTATTATTGTTGAGATTCTTGAACTCTTTATAAATTCTGAGTATTAATCCTTTGTTAGTTGCATAGTTTGCAAATATTTTCTCCATTTCTGTCAGTTGCCTCTTCACTTTGCTGAGTGTTTCCTTTGCAGTGCAGAAGCTCTCAGGCCGGATCGAGTTCCAATAGTGTGATTTTCTTCTTTTCTCTGCCTGGGATAGTCTGTGCTACTGGGATCTTTTCCAAGAAATCTTTTCCTATGCCTATGTCTTGCAGAGTTTCCCCAGTATTGTTCTCTAGTAATCTGATAGTATCAGGTTATACATTTAGGTCCTTGATCCATTTTGAGTGGATTTTTGCATAAGGTATAAGGTAGGAGTCTTGCTGCATACTTCTGCAAGTGGAGATCCAATGAATTTTAAAAATGTATTTTGTTTAAAAAGACCTCCCCCTTTGAGAGTCATGTATCTTAGCCCAATGTATGTTCTATAATTGAATACCTGTGACTGGATAGTTTATTAATAAAAGAAGTTTATTTAGCTCACAGTTTTGGAGGAACAAGAATATGGTGGAGCATCCTGGCAAGGACCTTATGGTTGTGGCACAATGTGGTAGAGGAATGGAAAGGACACTAGTCATGTGCAGTGAAAGCCAAACCAAGGTGATCTCACTTTATAACAACCTGGTCTTGCAACACTAATCTGGTTCTATGAGAACTAGAATTTCTGTGAGAAAGTATTAATCTGTCCATGAAGTTGGTTCCCACATGACCTAAATACCTTCCATGAGGTCCCATTCTTAAAGGTCCTACCACCTTCCAGCATTGCCGCACCAGAAACCAAACATCCAGCACATGATCCTCTAGGGCATACATTCAGTCCATCTCCAGAAGATGACATCTTGGACTTGTTTCAGCTAATGAGTGTGATTACATGTGAACAGAAGAGAGTGAGGTGAACCCTGGCCAGGGAGTGGCCCATCACTCCCTTCTTCCTCACTACCTGTGAAGGGTGTCAGGAAAGGAATTAAAGGACACCCCTTTAATTTGAACCTTGGGACGCACACAAGGTAGAGCATGGTGACAATTGGCACAGGGTATATGTTAGCAAAAACATTCCTCCCATGAGCCAATGAGCTCTTGAAATCTTGATTGCAGCTTGAGTTAGACTGAGGAGATGAATACACAATGGATGGGGTGAAGTGACAGCCAAGCAAAACTCAGGCGGTCAGCTCTGCTTTGATCACATTAGGAATATTGTATTAAGCTGCAGGAAACATGTATAGAGGAGTCAAAGAGCAGACTGTACTGGCCAGAAAAGGAGAGACTAAGCTGATGGGGAAACTGTCTCATGGAAAGGAAAATGGGGGAGGGGTTGAGGATGTTTGGTTTAAGAAGGAGAAGAGGGAAAAGCTTATGGGAAATTGAGTAAGCCCATTCAAGGAGGTTTGAAGGCGTTATGAAGGGCTTTTGATGGGAACATTGGTGAAAGAACTTTTTATTAAATATTAATATTTACATTTAAATCATATTTAATATTAAATACTTATTAAAAAGGAAGGATTTCCTAACATTTATAACTGCTCCCAAAAGTTTGTGAGAACCTCCTCACTAGACGTTTTTAGCCAGACCCTGGTGATAATTTGTCAGAAATATTGAGGGCAGTGGTAGAGCCCTGGAGTGGCCAGTGGATTCCACACATTTGCAGCAGTTTAAAAAATCCTACCTGGAACCCCTACATAATAGCATTTAATTTGTATAAATATGGTCATTATAGTAATGAGTCTCTTGATGAACATAAAAAATTGAGTTGGGGCTATTTATACATCAACTATTTATTAAGTATCCTCTGTTTGCCAAGCAGGGTTCCAAGTGTTGGAAAAACACAGTGGTTGAGATTATCCCCCTTTTGAGACCTATGTTCTAGTAGAGAAGACAGACTTCCAGTCACTAAACTAAAAAGAAGAAAAATTTTTGATAGTGATAGTGCTGTGAAGCAAATGAAATTACGCGACATGATAGAGAGTGGGTGACTTAGTGTAGGTATGTTAAAGTGAGCAGTCAGGAATGGTGTCTTTAGGATCTGAAACCTGAATGACAAGATTCTGAGCAGGAATATCTCAGGCAGAGGGAAGCAGGACAACAGGAAAGGTGGAAATGAATGGAACACATGTGAGTAGTGGAGAGATTGTAGGACTCTGCCCCTCCAGAACAAGAAAGAGGAGGGAGAGTGACAGATCATAAAGCTTCTCTAAGCTAATTCTGAAAGTATCCCCAGTAAAGAATCTTCCAAGACAAGATGTTTCCAACACAGACCAGCATGCAATTCAAATATACATGACTGACTGACAGGTTGTGCCATAGGCCTTCTCCTTACAAGTCTGACAACCCCCAGTAAGACTCTCTCCTCTTTAAGGACATGACTAGTCATGTGCTTGAATGTATGGCAGCATCAAATCACCGTGAAAGATTCCAAATGCTGACTGACTCAACTTCTGTCTTTATTGTTCTTATCTTGATACAGGTTATTCATAGATCTGTGGACCACATTTGGAGTACTGCATAAACAGAACCTTGAATTTTGCTCTAAGTGCCTTGGAAAGCATACCTGGGGAGGCAGGACAAAGGAGAATCAATGATGACTTACAGGAATGTGATGGTGTTCCTTATCAAGGTGGAGCAGACCCATGGAGAACAACTACAATTGAAGGAGAGGGCAAAAGTTCTGCTTTGAACATATTAAATGAGAGATGTCTAGACCTCCCGGGGGAGAGGTCAAGAAGGGACTTAGATATATGGGTCTGGGGCTTGCCACAGAGGTCAGAGCCAGAGTTCTGGTGGAGTCATGACAACCTGAATTTAAAGTTGTAGACCAACCAAGTTATCTAGCAAATGTCATAATGAAAGAAAAGCAAACTCCAGACCTAGATGTGTGACAATTCTGATGTGAGAGCAGACTCCAACATTCTCAGTATCCAGGAATTTTGAATCTAACATTTATGGAGCCTCAAGGCTTCATGAAACATAGAATGAAATCCCCCAAAGTAGTAATCTGTAAATATGTATGAAATGCATAGGTGAGCTCCAAAACACCCTTCCAACTCTGAGATTTTGTGATTCCAACATGATGCGAACTTCATTACTCAGAAGTGTTGGATGTGATCTTGTTGGGAAAAAGGGTATTCTTTGTAGATGTCATTGAATTAAGGATCCTGAGTGGTCCCTAAATCTGATCACAAGTGTCCTCGGAAGAGACAGAACAGAGGAGAGACAGAAAGAGAAGAGAAGAAGGCCAGGTGACCACAGCAGAGATTGGAGGGTTGCAGCCTTAAACCAAGGAAGCCAAGGCTTGCATGCCGCTACCAGAAGCTGCAAGTGGCAAGAAGGATTCTCACTGAAAGACTCCAGAGCGAGTGCAGCCCTATTTGACATGCCAGCCCTGCCAACAACACCTTGACTTCAGACTTCTGACCTCCAGTACCCTGAGAAAATGGATTTCTCTTGTTTTAAGCCATTCAGTTTGTGGTGATTTGTTATAGCATCCCCCAGGAAACTAATGTGCAGGATGTCTTTTATATCTTTTAGTTGATGCTATTGCAGCCTTTGCTCTGGATCCAAGCTTTGTCCTGACCCAGTGCCCCTGATCTCTGGCTACACAGTTGGGTCGCCTAGAGAATTCATAAAGCGTGCTTTTGTCTGGGGCACACACTCAGAGATTCTGCTCCTGTCTGGCACTGGTGTAGAGCCAGAGGTAAGAACTGCCACTTAATTAGTCACAACAATTTGTCAAGGGATGGCACAGAGGTCCTTGAGCTGGGGAATTTGCCAGTCAGTGCTTTTATGAGGAGTTACAGACCCCATAGCACAGAGACAGTTCTGCTCCACCATGTGGGGATGAAGGGATGCTCCAACAGGTGCTTACGACTGCTGATCTGTGCGTTCCCTGTGCTGTTCCCAGAAGCTCCCAGGAGGCACCTCTTTCTCCCCAGCAGTTTGATAAGGTCTCACTGTAATGCAAATCCAGACATTCACTTGTGAGTCCCCACTCCAGATTGTCCTTGTCTCCTGTACAGATAATGACAACTGGGATCTTCCAGTGGCCTGCTAATTTGGGCAAATTCTGAAAATCTGCATCATAGATGTGCTGAATAGGATAAGAGTAAGTTGTTGTTTAGAGGGAAGCAGATTCCTAATTGTGAACAAAGCCCTCCCTTGTACACCAGCTCTAAATAAATGTTTCTTTATGTTTGCAGTTGCGTGACCTCCTGGAGTGGTCTTCCTCGTGCGTCAGCGCGCAGTCAGGAGTGCAATGCCGTTCCCAATGTGCGCTCATCTGTGAGGGGCTTTGACAAAGACTCACTGCATCCATTGACTCCCCGGGAAGTCTGAGGTCACAAGCTTGGCTGGTGCACATGAGCCCAATAAAGAAGATGGTTTTGCCCTCCTGAAACAAAGCCAGAAACTTGATCTCTTCATTGTGCACTTTGGACCATGTGCTAACGATGAGGATTTTTCTAATACTAATCCGCCTAATGACGGCTTCTCCCAGCCCTTACACAAACCCCACAAGGCCCCGTGGCTTGGCAAGCCAGACAGAATAAAGGCAGCACGGCATTTGGCTTTTGAACTGAGTTCAAGGCAATTAAAGTCAAGGGCTAAGGAGGGAAGGAGGGGGTATAGAAATGCCAGCATAATAAGCAGTGTGACTGGAGCACTCTGCAAATTAACTCAATTAGACAAAGCCCGATTTAACGGGGGAAGATGGTGAGAAGCACTGCCCTCATTAAATTTGGCTGTTAGAGGCGCTCCTAATGAAATTAAATTTGTGTTAGTCGTTTGAGTCACATAAAATAGTGTGTACATGTGCCTGTACACACATGCACACGTGAAGGGTTTGTGATTTGGGTAGGTATTTTTTTTAGGGGGAGAGGGATAGAATGCAAAAAACTATATACTAAAAAGAGAAAAAGACAGCGAATGCTCAAGAGCTCAAGAGTGGAAGACTAGGAGAAAGGGAAGACATAAAGAAGGACTGGGAAGGGAGAGCCAGTTATCACCCAGCCATGAGCCTGCTTCAGCTGGGACTCCTGTTCCTGTGCCTGGACTGTGGAATCCTGCCTGGGGCTTGGGCTCAGTTCCCTCGGGTGTGCATGACCTTCGATAGCCTGGTGAACAAGGAATGCTGCCCGCCCCTGGGTGCAGAGCCCTCCAACATCTGTGGTTCTCAGGATGGCCGGGGGCAGTGTGCAGAGGTACAAACTGACACCAGGCCCTGGAGTGGCCCTTATGTCCTGCGAAACCAGGATGACCGTGAGCAGTGGCCAAGGAAGTTCTTCAACCGGACCTGCAAGTGCACAGGTGAGGTGTCTGTGGACAGACCTGGCCCACACTACTGGCTTTGTGGGGAGGGCTCTGGCTGAGAAAGGAGCCCCTTCTAAGGAGGAGAGGAGACTATTGACAGAGGCTATTGGATGAGACTTTGAAAAATGAACCAATTATATTTTAGTGAGAAGCAGTAGTAGGACTGATGATGTCTTGGTTCACATCCTCTGGTACATCCAGTTATGAAAACTAAATAAATATTACCCGGGCCAAGCCCAGTTATATGAACACATGCCAACATACCATTGACTTGTTTATTGGAAAGGGAGGCTAAAGAGCTCACGAGTCAGCTTTGAAAGTCAGAACAAGTCCTTTCAAGATGGATTCGGTGCCCTCTCCTGAAATGGGTCCGTATTTGCGGAGGAGGGGATGGGTGAGGCTTGGTATTTACACACAGGAGTTGGAGGCAGGTGTTCTGCTGTCCTGGCCACAGTGCTTCTCATGATTTGAATGGATCTCAAGCAGGGTACATCTTTCTCATTAAAGCTGTGGCTGGGTTGTAGCTTTGTCAGTGTTGGACAGACGCAGCAAGAAAGAGCTTTCTCAGTGACCTGCAAAGAGAGGGTTGTTACCCAAAAGCAGTGGCTTTGGTTCACTCTTGTCTGGATTTGAACGCGGTGTCACAAAAGGAACTCAGGGTCCTTCCTGTAGGCTCTGGTCTCTCTTATGACCTACTTCTTTGAAATCTCTGTGCATTTCTTCTTTCTTTGGCCCTCCGGGCCTTCCCAGGTCCTCTTCAGTCATTGCTTTCCTCTGGTTTCCAGCAGCCATGACCAGTGATGATTAGCACTCAAAGGCTGGCAGGGCATTCAAAACACAAAAGACTTAATTTGCAATTTCTGCAGTCCTTCTTACTTTTCTATGGGTGCTGAATGTGTCAGACTTTGCTTTCTTTAAATACTTATTTCTGTTCTTGTATGATTCCAGGATGTAGGATAATTGAGCCATGTAAGGGCATGAAGAAGTATTACTAAAAGAATATCCAAAGGGATGTTATATTGATATAGGGATGATGTTGGATTTTTTTAAGTTTAGAAGTCCTGGCTTTAAAATCATTTTGTAATCTTATTTTTAATTCTTTAATGCAAAGGAATTTTTGGGTCCTGGTTTTGTCCTGGGTATTGAGACAATGTTTTCAGTGGCATATTGAATATATATTATCCATCTTTTTCTAAGCTGTGTAAGTACATGCTTCCTTTGACATTGTCTCTTGGGTTTTCATTGTTTTTCAGTCTAATGAGGAACAACTGTTTTCATATTACCTATGTGATTGAAAACCATACTAACATAGTGACTTTTTGGTTCCAAACTCAAAAATATCCCTAGAGCAATTATTTCCATGTCAAACGTTTTAAAATGTTTTAAAATGTTTCAATTTTTCAGAAGTTGGGAATCTCCATTTTATAGAATTCCAGGGCAGACTACTTTATGAAATCATATATAATTATTGACTCTTTTTATCTCAATCCCCTTTATGTTTTTGACTGGCTAACATTATTATTATTATTTTAAAGGATAGGGATGTGAAAAATAGAGAATGACAGAGGAGAGAGGAATACTTACTATTTTCCTTTGCTGAGAGAATTTTTATAAATTCTCCTTAGGAGCGACAGGAACTCGAGGTCACAGTGACCTACTTTCAAAATATAGAAGGGGATTCTCTGTTCTAAGAAGGCAGCTGACCAGAAATAGGGCCTGTCCATACCGTGAGAACATCACATGTCCCAAAGCAAGACTCTGTCATGGTGTATGGTCTCCATTTCCAGTCACGGTGAAGGACATGTATGCTGCTTTGACTCCCACTACCAGGCTGTGGTTCACCTCCTCCCTATAACCAGCTGAGCCTGACTCTGGACAGTAACTCTTGATATCAACTGTCTCTCGTGCGTGTGTGTGTGTGTGTGTGTGTAAGAGAGAGAGAGAGAGAGAGTTTCTAAGGTATTTTAAGACTTACTGAATCTACGAATTTTGTTTGCTATATGTTTTGTTTTCTCCAGTTTTAGTGAGTTTGGCTATACATGTATACTCTTGGTACCATCACCACAGTCAAGGGAATAAACATCACCTCCAAACATTTCCCTGTGTCTCTGTTTTTGTGTTTGCTTGTTATTGTTTATTTGGCAAAATCACAACTTGAGATCTGTTCTCTTAACACATTCTTAAGTGCAGGATACCTTATTGTTAGATACTGGCACAATGTTGTAAGCAGATCTCTGGGACTTACTCATCTTGTGTCATTGTGACTTTAATACCCACTGAACAACTCCCTCCATCCCATGGTAGCTACCATTCCATTGTCAATGTCATATATTTGGATATTATTTTATTTTTGTTTTATTTGAGAGGGAGAGAGAATATCTTCCATCCACTGGTTCACTCCCCGAATATCTACAACAGCCAGGGCTGGGTCAGGCTGAAACCAGCATATAGGAACTCCGCCCAGCTCTCTGTGGAGGGCAGGGATCTGAGTATTTGAACCATCACCTGCTGCCTTCCAGGGTGTGCATGATTAGGAAGCTGGATGGGAATCAGAGGTTGGACTTGATCCCAGGCAATCTGATGTGGAATGTAGGTGTCCCAAGCACTGGATATAGTTGAACACACTGCACAATAACACCCAATCCTTAAAAGCTTAAAAAAGTTTTTTATTTGAAAGGTAGGGAGAGAGGGAGAGAAGGTGAAAGGGAAAGAGGGAGGGATAGAGAGAGAAACACAGATATTTGGTTATTTTAGATATCTTTTAAGAGGAATCCTGCATTATTTGTCCCTCTATAACTGTCTTATTTCAACCAGCACAATGTCTTCCAGTTCTCTTCACGTGGTCACACAAGTTAGAATCATCTGCTTTTTCATTTTATTTTTTATGATTTATTTGTTTATTTGAAAGGCAGAGTTACAGAGAGAGAGAGAAAGAGAGGGAGACAGAGATAAAAACCTTCCATCCATGGTTTACTCCTCTCATGTCTACAGTGGTCAGGGCTGGGCCAGGCTAAAACCGTGAACCAGGAGCTTCATCCAAGTCTCTCACATAGGTGCAGGAGCCCAAGAACTTGGGCCATCTTCTGCTGCTTTCCCAGGTGTATTAGCAGGGAGCTGGGTTGGACGTGGAGCAACCAGGACATGAACCAGCACCTATATGGGATGCCACTGTGGGAGGCAGTGGCTTAACCCACTATGCCACAATGCCAGCCCTAGAATTTTCTTTGTTTTAAAGACTGAATAGTATTCCATTACACTTTCATACTGATTTTGGGTGGATTCACGCTTGTTGAGTAGGTGGTCTAGCTCTTGAAGTTTCAGGGCACCAGACCAAGTCTTAGTGGCCGAGGTGCAAAGTTTCTTCGTGTATGTGGTAATTACCATTCTGTGATGTGCCACACATCCCAACACAAGATGGGAGTTCTCCAGTTTATTCTACCTCCAGAGAGATTTGTTTACTGTCTCAGGGTTGTTTTCTCGTGGTTTGCAAAAACAGTCTTTAGAATTTAAACCAAAGACCTTCTCTTCTGGTAGCTTCATGATTCTTTTCCAAATAGAATCCCTGCACAATCTCAGGTTTCTTAAGGAAGGCCGGTGCCGTGGCTCATAGTCCCGGTTGCTCCTCTTCCAGTCCAACTCTCTGCTGTGGCCCAGGAGGGCAGTGGAGGATGGCTCAAGTGCTTGGGTCCCTGCACCCACATGGGATACCAGGAAGAAGTACCCGGCTCCTGGCTTTGGATTGGTGCAGCGCCAGCTGTAGCAGCCATTAGGGGAGTGAACCAACAGCAAAAGGAAGACCTTTCTCTCTGTCTCTCTCTCACTGTCTATAACTCTCTCTTTCTCACTGTCTAACTCTGCCTGGCAAAAAAAAAAAAAAAAAAAAAAAAAAAAAAAAAAAAATTCTTAAGGAAAAAATGTCATCTGGCAACCAGACTATTGATGACCATGAATTTTGTTAATTCACTGGAAAAATAAATGTGCTGTAGAATCCAAATCATGCAGCTGATGAAAAAAATTTTAAGCTCTATGCTCAAATTCTGACCTTTTCTTTTCCATGTAGGGATGAATTGAAACAAGGAAAAAGTTAGTGGTCAGGGGGAGCTTAACTTCAGGAGACCTTGGCATGAGCCATTCAGCTCATAAGGCTTACCTACCAGTTGGCCTTTACGAGAATATACCAGTTGCAATTGTGTCTTTGGGCTTTTGAAAAAATGTGTGCACCAAATCGTTTTTGAACAGTTGGCTGAGAACGTCTTGTTTGTACAAATGACTAAGTGCCTCCATTTTCCAATCTCTGAAATGGGGATAATGATGAAACCACACTTGTAAAATCCTTTTGAGCTCTCTAGATGAAAGGATCTATGTGAGTATAAAGTATTGTTATTAAAATAATAGAATCTCTAATTAAAAGGAATAGGCTATTTAGAGTTCCTTGTAAAGTCACTAATCGGTGGTCTTTAAGCTTATTTAGTCTAATGGCTTTTTGAGGTTGAGCTGATGCAGTTCGTGTAGGAACGTGTAGTGTTTGGATGTTTTCATTCCCTTCCATTTTTATCCCACTCCTCAGTAGATAAAGAACTTTGACTGTCTCAATTTAATTTTTGCTCAAGGACATTCTCCATGGTGGATAGGTTGGCATCATCTAGGGATCTTTTTGTTTTCTCTCTCCATTTCGCAGGAAGCTAACACAACCATTTCTGAAAGACCCTCTTTTTACATGTGTTACTATTTGTAGATAGGGGATGGGGATTAACTCATTTTAAATTGATGTAAAATCTTCTAAAAATCGAAATTAAAGTAATAAACATTCTATGTGCTCCGCTTTCATTTTCTTAAACTTTTAAGTTGTCTTCAGCATTACAACAAATTCTTTAGGCTAGGTTTACAGGCTCAAAACTGAAAGGGGTCTGGCTGAAGGGTCTTAGTGTATTTTCTGTGACATGTACTGGAAAAGAATTTTTTAATTAAATAAACTTCCAGGTCATTAGGGGAACTCAAATTCAGACAAATGCTCTTTTGTTAGTATGTATACGTTACTTTGTGTAGGCAACTTTGTTGCATTGAAGTTCTTTGTTCATCAGGTGGTGAAGCATCTCTGATCTGAGTCAAGGGTCGTCATTTTCACCTTTTCCATGAAAAGGCTTGTGTTATGTGCACACGCCTTTTACTTCCTCCAAGCTAAGGTATTATATCTTATTTATGTGAAGGCACTTCAAAAAGTTCATGGAAAATGGAATGAAAAGATAAGCTTATTTTGGTGTAAAAAATTTTTGAAATCCATACATTTGAGGAGTTTTCCAAATTTTTGGAAAAATACATCTAATGAAAAAATGATGCAAGAATTTCAATTTTTTTGCACTAAAATAAATTATTTTAATTCTATTTCCATGAACTTTTTGAAGTCCCCTCATGTTTGTATACCCTATTAGCTAATGCCTTTTATTCAGCTTTCCAATGGTTCTTTCATCACTCACCTGGCCAACATTTATTTAGGACCAATTAAATTAAGTAATTTATGGACAGGGAGGGAAGAAAATGTCATAATTTTTGAAGCGTCTACAGGGTAGGTATAAAACAGACATGAAAACAAATTGTTGCTGTACTATTTGATATGTGGTATATAATAAAACTAATAATAGCACCTAATATAGAATTTGATGTATACCAGACACTGTTTTAAGTGCTCCATATTAATGTGCTTGCTTTTTGTAAGAACTCTATGAAATATTACCTTGATACAATAGGCTCTGCAAGGTTAGGTCCAGAGTTACCAGAAGGTTCAAAAGCTATGGGAGTACATATGAAGGCATGTTGAGTGCTTTTTAAAAAACAGAACTCGGTTTTTGGAGAAGTTTTAGGATCACAGCAAAATTGAGTCAAAAGCACAGAGATTTCCCACATACCTCTCCTACATACAGCCTCTGCACTGTCATGATAGCTTCAGTTTTGACTGCCCTTTAAGCAGTAGGTTTTCAGTAAATTATGTAGGCTACATAAATGGGAGAGGCAATTAGTTACTGATAATTTTGTTTCTACCAACCAAAAAGAATGTTGATAAACAAAGTAGAGTAGTCTTAGAATTCATGGCGTAAGTTATGAGTTACTCAATAATGAGATCCTCAAATCCAAAAACAAGTTCTATATCTTTAAATGTAGGAATACATTGAATTTACTATTACAAAATTTAGGTGTGTTATTTCTTAATATTTTAAAAAATTAGTAAACTTTATTTTTAGAGCAGTTTTGGATTGCTAGCAAACTTAAACATAAAATACCTAACCAGTTCCCCTGCACGTGCCCCCTCCCCTTCACCGTCAACATACTGCCCCAGAAGCCCCATTTGTGACAATCAGTGGCCTTCCTTGATACATGATTTTTACCCAAATGTCTTAGCATTTTTGAAGCAAGAAGTGAAGAGATGTGATTGCACTGTCATCCCCAGCCATCTGACCTAACTTTAGGTAGCCAGCTGAAAGTTTGACTGAATTTTTATTTGGGTAGTTCTTATTCTTCTCAGCATTTTGTTCAATCCTTTCACAAAAAAATACTATATTCCTGGAAAAGCTATCAGAGTAGGTAATGCATTTTAGTAAAGGTTGTCTCTAAAGTAGATAATCTGAAATTCCAGGGGTAATGAAGCCTGAAGCATCTTGAAAGTACGGTAGCTGCCCAATAAGTACCTGTTGAATAAATCTTGTATATTTGGTGACTTGGCTCCTGCAATCAACATCAGTATTAATGTTTAACTCAAACTATTCAGATACACTTGGGAATAGTAGAATTTTTCCTTTTTGAGTATTTTTACTTCTATTCTCAAAGAGTGCTGAAATGTAGGAAATACAGATAATTGAGCTATGTGAGGATAGGTAGGATATTTTGTATGTTGCAAAGAACACAGAACTCAAGCAACCAATTACCATTTTTCTTTCTACCTACTTACTACATTTCTGATGAAATTTTCCTTAGCTATCAAAAAATTCATTGGTGAGTAGAAAAGAAGCTGTGCCTTTTCTTTACAGAGCACAAATACTAATCATTTTGTTTTTTATGCTATTGGACAATTTTCTTTTCCTTTAGAGATACAAATGACCTTTTTTCTCTTATGGTCATAGTACCTTTTATTTACCTCTATTTTTGTACCTGTAGTTTTCCAAAATTATTTACAGAAACAGCTTTTCCTGCTAATCCAAAAGGACAGGGAGAGAAAATTTATGTTTATTGCATTACCTATTAAATGTTATACTTGTATATTTCTTTCCTTCATTCAACAAACATTAATTATTCATAAGACCAAGCACAGGCCTACATAGTGAGTTCACTGATTTCCAGTTGTCTGGAGCTGAAAATAATATTATCAACCCTGTATATCCATGGGCCCACATCTGTAGGACCCTCCATCCCTGGATTCAGCCAATTTGAGGATAGAAAATATTCAGAAAAAATGCATCTGTCCTGAACATGTATGGATTTTTTTGTCTTTATTCCTTAACACACAGTGTAACAGCTATTTATACAACATTTACATTATGATAGATATAGTAAGTGAACAGGGAATAATTTAAATATACCAGAGGAAGTTCATGGGATACATGGAAATGCTATGCCCCTTTATATAAGGAACTTGGGCACCCCCCAATTTGGAGTATCCAAGGAGGAGTCCTGGAATTAATCTCCCACACATACTAAGGGACAAGGGCATAAAGACATCATGGAAAAGGGAATGAAAGGGATTCTGAGGTGCTGTGGGAGCACAGTCATGTAGGAGTGTCTGAACCTGATGTGTGGAGTCAAGAATGTGCTTATAGGGCCGGCGCCATGGCTCACTTGGTTAATCCTCCACCTGCAGCACCAGCATCCCATATGGGCACTGGGTTCTAGTCCCAGTTGCTCCTCTTCCAGTCCAGCTCTCTGCTCTGGCCAGGGAGGGCAGTGGAGGATGGTCCAAGTGCTTGGGCCCCTGCACCTGCATGGGAGAGCAGGAAGAAGCACCTGGCTCCTGGCTTTGGATCGGTGCAGCGCCAGCCATGGCAGCCATTTGGGGAGTGAACCAACGGAAGGAAGACCTCTCTCTCTCTCTCTCTCACTGTCTATGACGCTAACTGTCAAAAAAAAAAAAAAAAAAAAAAAGAATGTGCTTATAGAGAGCCCACTGTGAAGTTTAGAGGAGGGCTAGGTAAGCTGGACAAAGAATTTAGGGAAGCAGGGATGAAAAAATGTTTCAGGCAGAAGGAAGAACAGTAAGTCTTGGGGCAAGAGGAGGAGGAAGAGGAAGAGGAAGAGAGAAGGAGATGTCTTGGTCACCCATGCTACTGTCTTTCCATCAACCCTCAGTCTCCTGGGAGACAGGCATTCTTATCCTCGTTTGTTTCCTTCATTCCAGGAATACTTTCGCTCTTCAACCTATCACCACAAACTGAGGGACTGGTTAGACTCCCAGCAGTAGTCCAAAAGGCTAAGAGAGGAAAGGAAGCCAAGGGCAAGCTGACACCATTTCCACCTGAGATGCTGATCAGAGAGATGCTCAGAGCTTGATGTTCCTAGTGTTCACTCCCTGGGCGTGCAGAGAGAGAGAAAGAGAGCATATGTGTGCAGCTGATGGGAAACCCTCAGTGATTTGTGCTCCCTGACATCATGGCAACTAATTCACCTTTACAACCTGTCAGCCTCCATTGATTTTGTCTTAACACTGTCTCCTTTGTGAAATAAACCAGCATTTTTGGTGTTAGATTCCACCTAAACTCCTGGAAGTGAGCTTATTTATTTATTTTGATTCCACGTTTAGCTTGGTATATGTTCCCTTCCCTCTCTAAATCAATGAGCTGTCTGCTCTAGGCCTTTGGTATGAGCCACACAGGTAGCAGGAGTCAGCAAGGACATGCTGAGGCTGCGGCTCAGCCCCAGGTTGGAACATGGAGAAGACATGGCAGGGGACGCTCCTGTGTCCTACAAGAGGGAGGAGAGTACCTGTATGAGTTAGCCCGGGCTGCCACCACCAGATCACCAGCTTACACAGTAGACTTTCTTTCTCAATTCTAGAGCTGGAAGCTGAGATCCTGGTGTTGGGTGAAGGGGCTGGTTTCTTCTGTGGCCTCTCTCTTTTGCTTGTACATGGCCACATTCTCTCTTAATTTTCTTTTCTCATGTTTTTTTCTCTGTGTGAGACTCTTCTTACAAGGACATTGGTGGTGTTGGATTAGGACCTGCCCTAATGACAGCATGTGACTTTTTTTTTTATCTCATTAAAAACTCTACCTTCAAGCAATGTCCAACTGACTTGAGCACATGCATTGGGGGGGGGGCGATTCATCCATGATATCATGTACTGCATTTCATTGCCTGCCTCTTTGTTGGGAATATTTCTAGGCCTCTCTAGTGCTCAGCCCACTTGGATCTCAAGAGGAGCCTAAGGGAAGGAATTGGACTTTCTTTGCCTTCTTGTAACCACTTTTGTCTCTTCTATTCTATGCCAGAGATCCAATTCAGAAATGTCTTCCAAGCTGCCTAAACTCACTTCCTCTCCCATCTTCCCCTTTTCTAAACCAGGAAACTTTGCTGGTTACCGCTGTGGAGACTGCAAGTTTGGCTGGACTGGCCCCAACTGTGATCAGAGGAAACCGGCAGTTGTTCGGCGGAACATCCATTCCCTGTCTGCTCAGGAGAGGGAGCAGTTCTTGGGTGCCTTAGACCTGGCAAAGAAGAGCCCACACCCCGACTACGTGATTGCCACGCAGCACTGGCTGGGCCTTCTTGGGCCCAATAGGACCCAGCCTCAGATCGCCAATTGCAGCATATATGACTTTTTTGTGTGGCTCCATTATTATTCTGTTAGAGATACATTATTAGGTGAGTTTTTTTCCTTGGCTTAAGGTATGTTATATATAGGTTTATGACTGGGTGAGGGGACATGGATGGGAAGTCATTTCACTGAAGTTAATTGACAAGAGAGTAACCTCAAGGCTATGTTAGGTCTATGAAAGTTGTAGAATTATCGAATACTGCCTGAAATTAAAAGGGAATGGTTTCTTTCCGGTTGGAAAGATATATTGGTTGTAAACACTTTCAATATCTGTCCTTTAGTTTATGTTCTTAATTCAAAATCTAAACTGTTCTCTATGAAGCTATTAATCCTCAAACGCATGGGTTGGCGAAGTGGAGGCAAATTCCTTTGGATTCCAGCAGAAAACATGTGTAAGTCTGTCTGGGGAAGCCCTTTCTGACCTTTTCCTCAAATTAGAGGAATTAACTGAACATATGTCAAAGCATATGATGCTTCTTTGTGCAGAATTAGACAGTGTGTGTTGAAAGTGGGTTTCTCATTAAACTCACGTGTCTTCAGTCATTTGTATCATGCTCTGCTGGGAATGCCCAGATCTTTTGTCAAGGGAAAGTGTAAGCTGAACCACAGTAACACAGAGTTAGCTTTTCCTGCTTAATCCTTTGAACCATACTTAACTTGTTTGTTAGATGCTTATAAAGTGGTGCCCAGGGGCTGCTGTTGTGGCACAATGGGTTAAGCCACTACCTGCAACACCACATTCCATGTCCAAGCCAGTCTGAGTCCTGGTTTCTCTGATTTGGATCTAGCTTCCTGCTAATGCATCTGGGAAAGCAGTAGTACTTGGAGAGACCCTGATGGAGTTCTTGGCTCCTGGCTTCAGCTGGCTCCGTAGTAGTTGGGGTCTAGATAGCGCTTAAGATGGGAGGAGAGGTTGTCCTCATAGGTTCAGATTTGACCTGAATTATTTTTCTTTGTGGGGAGAGATATAGACACCAGTTTTTTTGCAAGAGGGCTTGAATTCATTCCAGAGTCTTCTCATGGCAGTTCAGTGTGCTTGGCTAACCCTCAAGCTTTGGGGTTCCTCATTGGAGTTAGGGCAAATGAAGACATCTTACCCACTTGGAATAGTGAGACTTTCATCTGGAATCTCCCATCCCTGTCTTTATCACTTGGTGTCCCCTCATCATTTTGTCATGAGGACTTGAACCTTCAATCTGGATGGAAACATTTTTAAAAAGACTATGAGTCCAAAGAGTGAGAACAGTTCTTTTCTGTGTGGGTTTTTCAAAAACTTGCCTCGCAGGTAAGCATCTGTCTTTCTTTATCGATAGATATGGAGGCTCTCTGGCTGTAAACCTTTATAGTCTCTGCTGTCATCACTCTGAGGGATGTTTGCTTTATGAGAGGGGAATCTCTCAAGAGGAAGAGAAAACTATATTTTCTGGTCATATCCAGGAATTAAATTTATATTCATGTCTGTTCAGTTCTTTGAAGTTATTATAGGTACTTGGAAAAAGAACTAAAGTTAGCTAAAGTTTCTACATAACCATCAAAAACTGTTATGAAATGGGAAGAAGGATAGAACAGGCAGTAAGGAGGGCGTTAAATTGCCCAAAGCTTTTCACTAAAATTGGCAGTTCCAGTGGCCAGCCAAATTGGTTTGAATGTATTTTTCTCTCTTCTGGTATCAGTGACCATGCTTGTCAGCTAGTGGTTGTAACTGATTGATGGCTGAGGCACAACCCATGGAAACTCTTTTTGGTTGTATAAACATAGCATTAGGACTATGTGTGCTTAAAGCTGATATACTTTTAATTTACCTACTTCCTTACGGATTTGTGCATTTGTAAGGAATAAGTTAGAAAATGTCTTTAAAATATATTTTATTTATGTCTAATGATGTATTCTTTTGGATACTCCAGTTCACCTTATTGTTGCTCAAAAATTAATATGCAAAAAAGGCTGTTAATGCTGAACATGACTTGAATTTCCCAAATCGCTGCTGCAATACCAAATTTTTGAAAGATGAAGGAGCGTTTATCCTAAAAGTGCTTATTGCTTCTGAAATTCTTTTTTTTTTTATTGCTTGTAACACATCTTAAGTAAGGCTTGACATTTTAAATATTCTCTTTTGTGATCTGTAATATGTTTCCTAATTGTTTTAGGACCAGGGCGCCCCTATAAGGCCATAGATTTTTCACACCAAGGGCCTGCCTTTGTTACCTGGCACCGGTACCACTTGATGTGGCTGGAAAGAGATCTCCAGGTTGGTCAAAACTATGCATTTCATATTTTTTATTTCTAAAAAATATTATATGTACTTGAGAACTGCTACATGATGTTTTGCTGTACATAATACACATCTACAGAGTGAAGTGATTAGTGCAGTTAACAAATTCACATACCCATTATTTCATATAGTTCTGTCTCTTCTTTCCTTCCTTCCTTCCCTCCCTCTTTGCTTCCCTCTCTCTTTCCCTTTCTCTCTGTCTACCTTTCTCTCTCTCCCTCCTTTCCCACCCCCCCCCCCCACATTAAGAATACCCAGAATCTAATGTCCTGAACAATTCCTAGTACTTAATAAAATATTACTAGCTATAGTACCCAAGTTAAACAATGAAACTCCAGGCTAACTCATGCTGAACCTTTGATCTATACTTTCTTACTCCCACCCCTGCCCCTGGTAACCACTCTTTGCTCTCTGTTTCTAAATGTTCTATTTTATTATTTTTGAATTCCACATATAAGTGAGATCCTATGTCTGGTTTATTTCACTTAGCTTCATGTCCTTTAGGTTCTCCTTTTCACAAATGATAGAATCTCCTTTTTAAAGGCTGAATGACAAGTGCATTGCATGTGTGAGTATATGCATATAAATAGTCCCTTAGTATCTGTAGGATATTGCATCCAGGACCACTCCCTCCCATAGAATACCAACATCTGCAGATTCCCAATTCCCTTATATAAAATAGCACAGTATTCACATATAACCTATGCACATCCACCATATATATATGAGTATGCACGGATTTCAAAATTTTTTGTGCCAAAATAATTTTATTTTGTGATTAGTTATCCATTCACCTGGTATTTTTCATCTTGCTTATACATTTGGTCAAGACCCTTAGCAGTCTTCACCATATAAGCTTTCTTGCTGTATCTGATGGCAGAAATTAAATGACTAGACCTGCCCTTTGCTTTTAGCGACTTACAGGCAATGAGTCCTTTGCTTTGCCGTACTGGAACTTTGCCACCGGGAGGAATGAATGTGATGTGTGCACAGACCAGCTGCTTGGGGCAGCAAGACAAGAGGATCCAACTCTGATCAGTCAGAACTCACGGTTCTCCAACTGGGAGATTGTCTGTAACAGGTAAAAACCCATCATGTACTACACTATGGATGCCGGGACCATATTTTCTTCTGTCTGAGAGATGAAGGGGCCACTTTGTGTCTCTGTTTCTAATGCATGTGGGGTTCTGTTTACACATTTCTGAAAACAATTTCCCAGGAGAGCTGACATTTTAAAACTGTTATGCTCTTTAATAAGAATTTCTCTGTGAATTGAAAATGCACAAACATCATATTGACATCAACTGTTTTAGAATTAGGAAGAATTTCTGTATGTGGCCAACATTTGCTAAGCAGCAGTCATATTCCTGGTAAGGGAACCCTGCTGGGAATGCAAATACTGAGAAAATATAGCCTTCTCCATGACCATAAATTTGTGTTTACAAAGGTAGACCTCTTGTCAATGAATTATAACTAAATATGAGAAGGACTATAATAGATGGACAAGCTGACCCCAATCAAGGCAAGTCCTCAAGAAGAGGAGATGCAGGTTCTGAAAACTGAAGGAGACAGCAGTCTTTGCCAGGTGCAGGGGAGGATGAGGAGAGTGTTAAGAGGGAGGTAGTTGTTTCCTAGGTGGAGAGAACATCATGGATGAAGTCTCTGGAAGCAGCTTGCTGCGGCCAGGCCGCAGGGTGAGGGTGAGCTGAGAGGCTCAGAGGAGGAACTCCTCCCAATCACTGAAGACTACCCAGGTAGGTGAGCAGCCTGAGGAACAGGAAGGATACTATCTTCCAAGTCTCCTTGAATTTATTTCTCTTTCCTGTCACATGCAGTGGCCCCTCTGATCTACAACGTGTTTATTCCAAGGCCCTCTTTGGGTGCCTGAAACTGCAGAGTACTGAGCCTTTGAATATGTGCTATGTTTTATCCTACATGTAGAATACATCAAAAAGTTCATGGAAAAATGGAATTAAAAGATAAATTTTTTAAAATCGATGAGTAATTTCTTTTCACAGTATTTTCTATAAACTTTTGAAGGCTCATCATATGCCTGGATTTTAATTTTTTTGCACCAAAATAAATGTGTTTTTTTTTTTTTTTTGACAGGCAGAGTGGTCAGTGAGAGAGAGAGACAGAGAGAAAGGTCTTCCTTTGCCGTTGGTTCACCCTCCAATGGCTGCCACGGCCGGCGCACCGCGGCCGGCACACCGCGATGATCCGAAGCCAAAAGCCAGGTGCTTCTCTTGGTCTCCCATGCGGGTGCAGGGCCCAAGCACTTGGGCCATCCTCCACTGCCTTCCCAGGCCACAGCAGAGAGCTGGCCTGGAAGAGGGCAACCAGGACAGAATCTGGCGCCCCAACAGGGACTAGAACCCGGTGTGCCAGTGCTGCAGGTGGAGGATTAGCCTATTGAGCCGCGGTGCCACCCAATAAATGTGGTTTTTTAAGAAAGCTTTGATTTAGAGTACAAATTTCATAGGTACAGCTTTAGGAATATAGTGGTTCTTCCCCCATACCTGCCCTACCTCTTCCACTCCCATCCCATTCTTCATTAAGATTCATATTTAATTAACTTTACATACAGAAGACCAGCTCTATACTAAGTAAAGCTTTCAACAATTTGCATCCCCCCACAAAGTATAAAGTATTGTTTGAGAAGAAGTTTTACAGTTAATTCTCATAGTATAGCTCATTAAGGACATAGGTCCTACATGGGGAGTAAATGCACAGTGACTCCTGTTGATTTAACAATTAGCACTCTTATTTATTATGTCAGTGATCATAAATAATGATCACTTGAAATGAGCTGCCCAGGCTATGGAAGCCTTTTGAGTCCACAAACTCTGTCAGTATTTAGACAGGGTCATAAATAAAGTAGAAGTTCTCTCCTCCCTTCAGAGAAAGGTACCTTCTTCATTGGTGGCCCCTTCTTTCCACTAGGGTCTCACTCACAGAGATCCTTCATATATGACATTTTTTGCTACAGTGTCTTGGCTTTCCATGCTTGAAATGCTCTCATGGGTTTTTCAGCCAGATCCGCATGCCTTCAGGGCTGATTCTGAGGTTAGAGTGTTGTTGAGGGCATTTGTGATGCTATGGGTCTGCTTTGTGGACTGCTTTCCATGTTGGAACATTCTCTCCTTTTTAATTCTATCTTATTGTTATTACCAGACACTTGGTCTTATTTATGTGATCCCTTTGACACTTAATCCTATCTATATGGTCAATTAATCACTGAATATGATCACTTTAACAGGTAAGATGGCATTAGTACCACCCAGCTTAATGGGATTTGGAGTTCCATGGCAAGTTTTTAGCTTTACCCTCAGGGGTAAGTCAGTGAGAATGTGTGCTGAACTGTACAGCTCCTCTCTCTCTCTTTCTTTCTCTCTCTATTTAAATATTTATTATTTGAAAAATCAGAGTTACACTGAGAGAGAAGCAGAGGCAGAGAGAGGGAGGGAGAGAGAGAGAGAGAGATAGAGAGAGAGGTATTCCATCTGCTAGTTCACTCCTGAATTGGCTGCAACGGCTGGAGCTACACTGATCTGAGCCAGGAGCCAGGAGCTTCCCCTGGGTCTCACACATGGGTCCAGGGGCCCAAGGACTTTGGCCATCTTCTACTGCTTTCCCAGGCTGTAGCAGAGAGCTGGATAGGAAGTAGAGCAGCCCAGACTCGAACTGGCGCCCATATGGGATGCTGGCACTGCAGGTGGCAGCTTTACCTGTTATGGCCCCTCTTCCCTCTCTTATTCCCACTCTTATTTTTTACTGCGATCTATTTTCAATTGACTTTATACACCTATGATTAATTCTATGTTAAGTAAATAGTTCAACCAATGGTATTAAGTCAAAAAAGGTTTTTGACTTCTCTTTTGATTTCTTCTATGATCTGTTCATTCAGGAACATATTGTTCATTGTCCATGTGTTTGCATATGATGTAGATTCTTGAGTTGTTGATTTCCAGCTTCACTCCATTGTGATCTGAGAAGATATATGGCATGATTTCAGTTTTTTTGAACTTGCTGATACTCACTTTATGGCCTAGTATGTGGTCAATCCTAGAGAAAATTCCATGTACTGGCTAGAAAAATGTGTATTCTGTGGCTGTGGCTGTAGGGTAGAAGGCTCTTTAGATATCTGCTAGGTCTATTTGGTCTATAGTGTCGATTAACTCTGTTGTTTCCTTGTTGATTTTCTGTCTGTTTGATCTGTCCATTGCTGAAAGTGGGGAACTGAAATCCTCCATTACTATTTAAATATCTTTTTTTAAACTTCTTTTATTTCCTTTTTCATGAAATACCCTTGTACATACCTTTAATTTCTAAATTAGGCACAGTAAGAGACTAACAACAATAGCTAATAATGTAGAATAATTTTAACAATACACTATGTAAATGTTTTGTGAATGTGATCTCTCTTTCCTCATAATATCTTCATTCCTCTGCAGTACAGTCATATTTTTTGATCAATGTCGACTGCAGTCGGCGCCGCGGCTCACTAGGCTAATCCTCCGCCTTGCGGCGCCGGCACACCGGGTTCTAGTCCCGGTCGGGGCGCCGGATTCTGTCCCGGTTGTCCCTCTTCCAAGCCAGCCCTCTGCTGTGGCCCGGGAGTGCAGTGGAGGATGGCCCAGGTGCTTGGGCCCTGTACCCCATGGGAGACCAGGAAAAGCACCTGGCTCCTGGCTCCTGCCATCGGATCAGCGCGGTGCGCCGGCCGCAGCGCGCCGGCCGCGGCGGCCATTGGAGGGTGAACCAACGGCAAAGGAAGACCTTTCTCTCTGTCTCTCTCTCTCACTGTCCACTCTGCCTGTCAAAAAAAAAAAAAATGTCAACTGCAGAGAATTGAAACCATGGAAAACAAAACCATAGAGGAGTCAAGGACTATTCCCTCTTGGGAAAAGATTCCCCAAGAGGCTCCTCTGCTTCTTTTATTTGTTATTTCCCCCACAATCTCCACATTTTAAACACCATTCCTCAGCTTTCCACTCCTGTGTACCAAGCCCCAGCTCGGCTTCCAGCCTCCCTCCTGACACCCTACTCTGGGCAGTTATGTGTGTTGAGGTGCCTGGATCCTACTAGCTAAGGTCCCATCATCTACATCCTGTATATTTGTTACTGCCCTTGGCACAGTACTCCATTTTTGAGGACTTCTTTTCCCATGACTGTGCCTAATTTCATGAGGAGCCATTTTCCCATGATGCCTTGCTTGAGATATTAATATGTAGTATTAAAAGGAAGTGTCTGTGATTAAAACTTTTAAAAGTATATTGTTATTTTTAAAGATTTATTTATTTATTTGAAAGAGTTAGAGAGAGAGAGAGACAGAGTCAGAGATTCTCTAAGTGGCTGCAACAGCCAAGGCTGAGCCAGGCTGAAGCCAGGAGCCAGGAGCTTCATCCAGGTCTCCCACATGGTTGAGGGGGCCCAAACATTGGTGCCATCTTCTACTGTTTTCCTTAGGCCATTAGATTGGGAGTGGAGCAGCTGGGATACAAACAAGCACTAGTATGAGATGCTTTTCCCTCTACACCACAATGTGGGCCCCAAATTATTTTTTGAGGGACAGGCAGAAAGAGGAGAAAGAGAACTCTCCCATCTTCTGGTTTATTCCTTCACTGCCTGCAACAGCCTGGGCTGGGCCATCTTGAAGTCAGAAGCTCAATCTGAGTTTCCTATGCGGATGGTAGGGACTCTAGTACTTGAACATTCACTGCTGTTTCCCAGGGTATGCATTAGCAGGAAGCTGGATTTGGGAGCAGAGCCAGGACTTGAATCCAGGCATTCTGATATGGGATGCAGGTGGCCCAAGTGGCAGCTTAACCTCTAGGCCAAATACCTGCCCCCAAATAACTTTTGAGAAGGCTGAGTGTTAATGATTTTATGAAATTTTAGAATGTCTTCAAGCCTTTCCTAGAGAAACGTATTCTTCAAGAGCCTACATGTATATGACTCTGGAACTCTTATTTCACAGAACATCTCCCCAGAACACACCTTGGGCAATGCTGCCCTTGGAGGCCTTTTTTTGTCTGGTGTTTAGGTCCTGGCCTCTTTCATACCCATGTGTGTGCTGATTGTGTTTTCACACCTGGGTGCTAGCCTTTTACCCTTTAAATTCACACAGTGACACTTGTCAAATTCCTCACTTACCAAATGAGGCTCTGTTTAGAATTTTAGGTCACCCCTGGTATGTGGGATATGATGTTGTATGGGTATGGGGCCCCTACACATCCCCATGTTTACCTGAAGCCTTGGGACAATTCCCAACCATTTTCTTGGTGTTCTCTCTGTAGTTTTACTGGTTTTTACTTTGACCTCCTCTGTTTGCCTTGACTTTGCCTAAAGTACTTTCCTAGGTTTACAGAACCACTTTTGTCAAAGCTGTCTTAGCTCTGCCATGTACAGACCATTCTATTCTCTCTTCGGTTACTCAAGATTCTTATGCACAAAATAGGAGTCACCATCCTACCTTTTAAACAAACACCCTCACTTTTTCCAATGCAGTAGTAATTATCATTCATTTTTGTGCCTATCTCCATATTTTGTCCCTTTGACTTTTTGAAACTTCTCAATTCACAATTGCTTTCAGGGTAGTTCTATAGCCACATAGTTTTGACCCTTCTAAGAGAGCTGTAATAATATTTTACCTTGACTATAACCCTGATATTTACCTGGGCTCAAGTTTATGATATTATCGGTGAGTTAAGATGTGTTATTTTTAATCCTCTTATAAATCTTAGTTTGGATGACTACAACCGCCGGGTCACGCTGTGTAATGGCACCTATGAAGGTTTGCTGAGAAGAAATCAAGTGGGAAGAAATAGTGAGAAGCTGCCAACCTTAAGAAACATACAAGACTGTCTGTCTCTGCAGAAGTTTGACAATCCTCCTTTCTTCCAGAACTCTACCTTCAGCTTCAGGTTGGTGCTTTGAGCTCAGCCGACTGGCACTTACCATACTCATAGGTGTTCATGCCTGGGCATGTAATGGACTAGAATAAAATCCAGGTGTAGGAAGATATCTACAAAATAAGCACTGGGGAGGTTAGGAAGGGGTTGGTGTTAAGAAAGTCAGAATGCACCTTCTGTAACTGTTTCTCATATCTTCTGATTTAGTTTCTCAGTACCACTTTTTTTTTTTTTGTATTTCTAATTTCTGTGCCTAAATAGATACAGTCTTTAGAATCAGAGTACCCTATTAAATATGTATTTTGTTTTTTTTTAATTTATTTTAATTGAAAGGGTGAATGACAAAGAAGGAAATATAAATAAAGAAAGAAAGATCTTCCATCCATTGTCTCACTCCCCCAAATGCCCGGAAGAGCCAGAGCTAATCCAGGTCAAAACTGGGAGCCAGGAACTTCATCCAGGTCTGCTGTGTGGGTAGCAGTAACCCAAGTACTTGGGCCATGATAAGTTGCTTTCCAGGCGAATGAGTAGGAAGCTGGATCAGAAGCAGAAGATAGCTGGGACTCAAACTGGACTCTGGGATGTGGGTGTCCCAAGCAGTAGCTAAAGGTGCTGTGCTACAACACCTGCCCGAGACATCGTGTTTTTAAAATGCTCATGCTCTTTTTCTTTGCTTTCTTCTTTCTGTAATGTTGACATTAGAAGCTTATTGGCCACAAACCTTAATCTTGTGGTCTGAGCTCTCAGAGGAGTACCATAGGCAAAATTCAACTCAAATTGAATGCAGCAGTATTTAGTACTTGAAATTTGAAGGCCAACTATTAATTTTCTTATACCAAAAAAAGACTAAGAATTATTATGGAGCCAGCATTGTGGTGTAGCACCTGCACTGCTGGCATCCCATATAGGCACTGGTTCAAGTCCCAAGCTCCAAGCTACTCCACTTTTTTTTTCTTTTTATTTATTTGACAGGTAGAGTTATAGACAGTGAGAGAGAGAGAGACAGAGAAAAAGGTCTTCCTTCTGTTGGTTCACCCCCCAGATGGCCGCTACAGTCGGCGAGCTGAGCCGATCTGAAGCCAGGAGCCAGGTGCTTCCCCCTGGTCTCCCATGCAGGTGTAGGGCCATCCTCCACTGCACTCCCAGACCACAGCAGAGAGCTGGACTGGAAGAGGAGCAACCGGGACAGAATCCGGTGCCCCAACCGGGACTAGAACCCGGGGTGCCAGTGCCGCAAGTGGAGGATTAGCCTAGTGAGCCACGGTGCCTGCTGCTACTCCACTTCTGACCTAGCTCCCTGCTGATGGCCTGGGAAAGCTGCAAAAGATGGCTCAAATGCTTGGGCCCCTGTTACCCATGTGGGAAACCCGTAAGAATCTCCTGGCTCCTTGCTTCAGCCAGGCCTAGCCCTCACTGTTGAGGCCATTTGGGGAGTGAACTATCAGGTGGAAGACCTTTCTCTCTGTCTTGCTTTCTCTCTGTCTGTAACTCTGCCTTCTATATAAAAAAACTAAGTTTTTAAAAAAGAATTACTAGATACATATACAGAAATAAAAGATGGATGGTGCTTCCAAGAAGGGGTGCTGAATAGATTCATGGTCTTCGCTAAAACTGAATTCTCTCTCTCTTAACTGTCAGAGGCAGGGTAGGTTGAACCTAAGCATCAAGGCTGTGCTAAGGGGAGCAGGGCTCATGATTTATGCTAGGGTAGAACAGAGCCCACAGATGGTATCAAACAAAGGTAAAGAGTTTTGTTAAAAGTGCTATCAAAATAGGTCTGTCCCTACAGAATCGAGTTAGGGCAGTAGTTCTCAAAATGTGGTGCCTAGGCCACCCTAATTGGCATCATCTGGGAGTTGATTGACATATACATTGTTAGGATCCACCCTTTGTCTCCTGACTCAGAATTCTTAGTCTGGAGCCTGAAGTCTGTGCTTTTCTCCAGTGAGTCCAAGGTGTGCTTAGGTGTGAGCATCACAGACATAGGGTGTGGACATTTAGAATTTCTTGAATAGGGATTTGAGGAACAAGAGAGAAAGGTGAAGGGAATCTTTGGATATGCTTAGAATGTTGTATGGATTACAGTCAAGCTAAAGTTCTATTTGGTTTAGAAATATGAATGTAAGATTATATGTTAATTCAATATTGATTACAGTGTGCTGGGCAGGATTCTGAGCCCTGGCAGTAAAAATTATCCAGAAAATGTAGACTATGTGTTTTAAGGGCATGAGAGAAAGATTTTAAGGTAAATTTGTTTCCTCCAGAACACAAAAGAGAGATGGTTCAACTGAGCAGGTGGAAAAATAGCATTCATATGCATCCCCTCCCCTTATAGAGGATTATCTTTGAAGATTGGGGCTAATTCTTAGTCAATTAGCTATGACAGAGCTTCTCATATCCCTACCATTCCTATTAGAAGATTGTGATCAAGTCTGGCAACAATAAAGAGATTTTTATCAGCTTTTGCCCGTTGTCACTGACATGCTGGTTTCTCCTAGGAATGCCCTGGAAGGGTTTGATAAAGCGGATGGGACCCTGGACTCTCAAGTGAGGAGTCTTCATAACTTGGTACACTCTTTCCTGAATGGAACAAGCGCTTTGCCACATTCTGCTGCCAATGACCCTGTTTTTGTGGTACGTTCAATGGCTCAGAATAGTGAAAATTTTTTCTAGATAATACATCGAGTTTATTTGTATTACCATAAGTGGTGTTTATTTTTGGTGTGAATAATGTGATCTATGAACCTATAAATTAATTGTAATTGCTACCATAGAGATGCGTTTATACCTCGCCACCTCTCTTCATCAAAAACCCGTACTTTTTAGGGATGGTCTGCTTTTTAATGACCTTAAATAGGAGTTTACAGTCCAGAATTCATAAATTAGAATAATGCTATCATTATTTTGTAAAATTTATATCATGAATTTGCATAAATGATACATGATTTTTCACTGGTGAGATGAAGGCAGCTTTAGTGAATTCCCTGCATGAAAGAAAGGTTTTGGTAGCCAGAAGAGGGGAGGAAAATGGAGAAGGGTCTGGAATGACGAAGATGACAAATGCCTTCAACAACTTTAATATAAAAACCCACATTAGTGTCACTTCACTTCATTTGTTGATAGGTTTCATGCCTCTGAGATATAAGACAGTAAAGAGGAGATGCATGGTTCTTGAAAATTCAAAGTGAGATGAACTCCCTTGATATAGTTGAATCTGATTTGGGTTTCACCTAAAAACAGAAGGACAAACTTGACAATGGGATTATGTTTCAGTATCGCAAGTTTTACTAGTTTTTGAGATATGTTCACCAAGGACTAGTCCTGAGAGAAACAGAAATGGTGTAGGGGTATGATAGTCAAGGTCTCATTATCCAGCTACGCTTAGCCAATGCCCTGCATCCAAAGACTTCTAGAAGTACATCTGCGCAGCAGCCCCTTATCTATGATTTTGCTCTGGTCTCAGTTACCCAGAGTTAACCCTGGTCCAAAAATATCACCATGGATCAATGAGGAATTAAGATGCTTTGAACGAGAGACAGACCACTTTCACAAAACATTTATCCCAGTGATTATTGTAATTGTTCTACTTTATTAACCATTTTTGTTCAGCTCTCACTGTGCCTAATTTATACAGTGAACCTCATCATAGGTGTGTGTGAGAAAAGACAACAGCTATGAGGTTCGGTACCACCAGGGAACTACTGAGAGTCATGGCACATGTATCCTGCACATAGGAGGGGATGCTGTGGTTGAACGTGGGGGCTTTATTCCTGCTTGTGTGGAGCTGCAGGAGGAGCTGGAGAGCCGCAGTGGGTGTCATAGAAGCCTGGCAGGATATAGGCTCATACTAGGTTGTTTGGGGCAGGGCTTAAGGCGTTTTGCTCTGGACAGAATGCTGTGAAGAAGCAGTGTGATTTTATGGTGGGGTGTGCCACTATTATGTACGTGGAGGGAAGGTTAGGCTGGGGTGGAAGCTCTAACTGCTAAAGCTGCAGCAGTCTTTGAGGTTATCCAGGAGAGGGCTGTTGGGTATGTTCACAGTGTTCACGCTTTGCCTGTGCTTGGACATGGCTGTGGGCTCGTCTTGTTTTCATCAGAGTGGCCTTGTCTGACATTGACGTTCTATGGGGGCTTGGAGCCTACCTGAGAACACCAGACTGCTCCTGGCTGTCAGAAGCTGCCTTTTCCTTCTCAAGTACAGCTCACTCAGTTGACTTAGTGTTCAGACAATGTACACATTCGAATTTCAGCCGCTGAGCCCCAACAGTGTTTCTGCTTGACACAAGCTTACCTCACCATAATTCAACGCCATCTGTTTTCAGAGGTTTATGTCTTGGATAGATGGATAAAGGAGCAATTACAAGAGAAATTTCACCTCTTGTTCTTCTTTATTTTGCCATCTTTTGGAGTTTATATTATGCAATTTAGATTTTACTGTGGTAAAAAACCCACAAAACTATTTTTTTCTAATTTTTTCTCCCTTGAATGTGAATCTTAGCAACATACCTCAGACCACGCTGACATGACAAAATGCCACAGACAAGTTTATAGTTCATGGTTCAAGTCTGTGATCAAAGCACATCTGACTTGACTTCTGGTAAAGGATCTCTCCCAGACCTTCTAGCTATGTCCTTATGTCGTGGCAGGAGGGAGAACAAGATTTCTGGTGTCTCTTCTTCTAATGACACTACTGTCACATGACAGCCTGACTTTTATGATCTCATTAAACACTAGTATCTCCCTGTAAGGCCCCTCTCCAAATGTAGGCACACTGAGGATTAAGACGTCAATGTATGGGGCCAATGCTGTGACATAGTAGGGAAAGCCTCTGCCTGTAGTGCTGGCATCCCATATGGGTGCTGGTTTGTGTCCTGGCTGTTCCTCTTCTGATCCAGCTCTCTACTTATGGCATGGGAAAGCAGTTGAAGATGGCCCAAGTGCTTGGGCTTCTGCATCCACATAGGAGACCTGGAAGAAGCCTTGGGCTCTTGGCTTCAGATCAACCCAGCTCCAGCTGTTGTGGCCATTTGGGGAGTGAACCAGCAGATGGAAGACCTTTCTGTCTCCCTCTCTCTGTCTATAAATCTACCACTCAAATAAATAAATAAAATATTAAAAATTAAAATGAAAAAAGGATTTCAACATATTAATTTGGGTGGACTATTCAGTCTGCCATACAGTGAGTCCCCAAACATCAGTTTGTAGCATTTTGTTTTGCTGAACTCCAAGGAGTCTGTGTCGCATAGCAGAAGGGACAACGGATTACAAGACCAGTCAGTTTAATTCAGTACTTACTTGTTCGATCTTGGAAATGTCAGTGAACAATATGGAGCTTCTATTCCCACTCGCTTCAAAGTGTGAGTCACATGACTCAATCTCCTGGTGGGAAAAAGTGTTGTTCTCATTAAGTGATTCTTAGTAGACTCAGATAATATGAAGATGCTTTAGAACCGTCAAGGGCAATAAAATGTTATCATAAAAATGATAATCTGTTTTATGGTAGCTGGTGGCAAAGAATTAGAGAAGTATGTGTTGGATTTCAATTTTCAATCTTTTAAGTTTCCTTATCTTGTTCTCCATAATGGCATAGCTGTGCCCCAAGGCAAGTTAATAACAAGGACAAAGTCAGAGGTATTTCAAGGGTGATTTATTATTTTATTCAACAATAAAAGGTGACAAGAGGAGAGAGAATAAAGGTGTAGCTTCCAGTGACTCCAAGCTTGCCCAATGGCGTGAGGGGTGGGACTCCCAGGTCTAAGTAACTTTTTGGCTCTTCAGATAGCTTTAAGCACAGCAGAAGTGAGCTTCAAGAATCCTGAGACGGAAGCAGTCAGTAGAGCTGTTCCTTTGAAAAAAATACTTTTCTCTAATACTTGTGCAGAGCGTTAATTGGAGGGGCCGTCAGGAGTGCAGAACGTTGGTCCCAGCCTCTAACCAGGTGGGGCTGATTTGTGAGGGCCACAGCCATCTCTGCTGTTTTCAAGAGCGCCCGTCCCATTGTTCAGTGGATCTGAACTGACATTCCAGATCCCGGCTCTGGCTGTCATCTCAGCTGGCAGCTTATGCCAAGCACTTCTGGTATCTGCTTCCTCTGCTGTTTACCCATATGATTTGTCTCTAAATAAATATTCATCAAAATATATTTTTCAGCTATACAATTTGTACACATAATCCATATTTATTAAAAAATGTCATAATACTTCTTATCCAGAACTGCAAAATATTATAAGAACAGAGACATCATCTGGCAAATTGAAAATTACATTCCTAACATTGCTCCTCTACTAAAGGAAATAATGTTGATGCTATTATTCCGATTTGCAGCATCGTAAGTTTCCAGGACTGTTGAACCATATCTCTTTTTGAGGAAACCCACCAGGTGCACAGGGTTTAGTACTGTTTTTCTGTAAATGACCAGATGGCAGATATTGTAGGCTTTCCAGGCCAGATGATCTACATTGCAGCCACGCAACTCTACCCTTGCAGCATGAAAGCAGCTGAAGACAAAACATAAACAAGTGAGCACTGTGTTCCAATTAAACTGTATTTACAAAAACACTTGGTAGGACCTATTTGGTGCTCAGGCTTTAGCTTGCCACCCCTGCTGTAAGGAACCAATGTTCCTTATTTGCAGTAGGGTTATTTCTATGGTCATATTTCTCTCTTTGCTGTAGATGGAAGCCCCATTATAACTTCCTGGTTGAGGAATTCTATAACTTACATGTAGTTCAAAGATGCTAGCTGTTTAGTCATCCTTGTCTTCTTTTCTTTGATAATATGTTATCATATATATATATATAAATATATAGAAAACCACTGCTTTCTTTGTGATAGTTTTAGAACTCACAATTACTTTGTTATTTATGAAGAGTTTTATGTTGAAGCCAATTCAGCCTTAAATGATTTGTGTGTGTGTGTGTGTATGTTTTGAGATCTAGGCGTAAGCATTTCAGTTAACAGAGTTATAGCTTCGGGAATTTCAAATCACAAGGCCATTCATGCAAACACATTGCACATGACATTTATTAGAATTACTTTGTGAAATCTCTTCAAGCAAGAGAGATACAAAGTTGTGTAGGATCACAATAATGAGTGAAAGAAGGCAGAATGTTAAGATATAGGAAAAACTCTGAACCAGTTGATGAGAGTCTTATAATTCCTAAGGTAATTGAAGCAAAGCCACACATTTATCATGGAAAATAAGATTAGGCCACAGGAATGCTAGGTAGTGCTGTCTTCAATATTAAATTTAGATAAAATACAAAAAAGAAGACGACCAATGAACTGTAAAGTTAAATAGCTAACTGCCAAAAAAGAAACTGTGCAATAGAACAGTGATATTCTTCCCAATTTGTAAAGACACTGTAATTAAAAGTGTATATGGGGATGGACATTTAGCCTAGCAGTGAAGACCTGCACCCTACATTGGAGTACCTGGGTTTGATTCCTCATTGCCGCTCATGACACCAGCTTCCTGCCAGTGGAGCCTCTGGCAGGCAGCAGTGATGGCTTGAATAGTTGGACTTCTCCCACTCGCATAGGAGACCTGGATTGAGTTCCTGGCTCCTGGCTTTGACTGAGTTATTCCTGGCCATTGAAAGCATTTAGGAAGTGAATTAGCAGACAGCAGCTCT